AAAAAAAACAAACATAAAGAGGGGGTGATCGGGAAGCAGTTGCTTGAGGATGAGTCAGCTACCATGTTTGAGATAGGGAGTGCTGTGGGGAGAGTACCAGATGCAGAGCTGCACACTGAGTGCCTGCTCTGCCTTGCTCTTGACTGCAGGTGGCCTTGACCAAGTGCTAGAAGAGGGTATACTGTACTTGGGCTATGAAGGTGCAGAAGAATAACTTTAGTATGTTACAGTTTATAGGTTGAGAGGGAACGTGCTTGTGTGTAGTATTTATAATATAAATAGGATTCACAAAATAATTGAGAGAGGAACAGGGTGGCTGGAGACATTTTCTGTACTTTCTGAGTTTTGAACTGTGTGAATATACTGTCAAAATTGAACAAAAGATTAATTTCCCTCTTCATATCTGCATACCCCCACCCCCAGGGAAAAAGTGGGCTTAGAGAATTAGATAGCCCTGGGTGTGTAAAACCCATCTCTGAGTGACCTTAGGTGAGCATTAACCTCTAAATATTGTTTTTCACTTACAAAATGAAATATAGTGGCACATTGAAAGCATCACACAGCATAGTCAAGTGGGATTTTTCTTTCTTTCTTTTTTTTTGTGATAGAGTTTTATTTTGTCACCCTCAGTAGAGTGCCATGACATCATACCTCACAGCAACCTCAAACTCTTGAGTGCAAGTTACTCTCTTGCCTCAGGTTCCCAAGTAGCTGGGACTATAGGCACCCGACACAATGTCCAGCTATTTTTACAGATGGGGTCTTGCTCTTGCTCAGACTGGTCTCAAACCCCTAAGCTCAAGCAATCCACCTGCCTTGGCCTCCAAGAGTGCTAGGATTATAGGCATGAGCTACCGCACCTGGCCTGGGATTTGTTCTTGAAATGTAAGACTATTTCAACATATGAAAATCAGTTAATGTGATATATTAACAAAAAAGAAAAAAAAATCACAAGATTGTTGCAATGGATGCAGAAAAAGTGTTTTATAAAATTCAATACCTTTTCATGATAAAAACTTTCAACAAACTCGAAATTAAAAGAAAATACCTCAATATAATAAAAGTCATTTTAAAAAGCCCCCTAGAGAATCCCAAATGATGATAATAGTAAGTGTTGGTTGATCTGAGATAGTGATTTATCTCAATTGATTGTTCACAGTCAGTTTCAGATTGAACTCCTTATTCTACTCTTTCCCCCCTTCTCACTACTGCACTTGACTAGTCTTTTTTTTTTTTTTTCAGTTTCTTTTTTGTTTTTTGGCCGGAGCTGGTTTGAACCCACCACCTCCAGCATATGGGGCTGGCGCCCTACTGCTTTGAGCCACAGGCGCTGCCCTGCACTTGACTAGTCTTAAAAAAAGATAATAATAGGGCAGTACCTGTGGCTCAAAGGAGTAGGGCACCGGCCCCATATGCCAGAGTTGGCGGGTTCAAACCCAGCCCCGGCCAAAAAAAAAAAAAAAAATAATAATAATAATAGTAACTCTCTCCCATGGTGGTTGTGAGGATAAATGAGGTTGTCAGCTTGGTGTCTGGCGGTGCACCAAGGTTTAAACATTGGTGATAACAACAGAAATATTATCTGATACCAGCTGGACACCTGTAGCTCAAGCAGCTAAAGCACCAGCCATATACAACAGAGCTGGCAGGTTCGAATCCAGCCCGGGCCCACCAAACGACAATGACAACTACAACCACAAAAATGGATGGGCGTTGTGGTGGGCCCTGTGGTCCCAGCTACTTGGGAGGTTGAGGCAAGAGAATCGCTTAAACTCAAGAGTTGGAGGTTGCTGTTGGCAGTCTACCCAGGGCAACAGCTTAGACTCTGTCTCAAAAAAAGAAATATCTGATACCTCTGGGCTTCTGTTAGCCAGCCATAAACTTGATCTCTTTCCCTTGTTTTCCACTCTTATTTAGTCTGTTGAAATCAAATGGAATCACTGGCTTAGAAATGTCTCGAAAATATGTTAAGTGTATTTGCCAGTGTCTTGGTGGGCACCTGTGCACCTGTAGTCCCAGCTACTTGGGAGGCTGAGGAAGGAGGATCATTCAAGCCCAGGAGTTGCTGGGAGCTAGGCTGACACCAGGGCACTCCAGTCTAGGCAACAGAGTGAGACTCCGTCTCAAAAAAAAAAAGTCAAGTCAAGTGTGACTCAGAGCTAGGAAGTGTTACTGTGGAGTAGTTACTGTAGCTCTTGTTATTACACTGCCAGCTACATCTTTTGCCTGCCAAGTCCTGGTTTAACCTTTCCGTATTTGCAGATCAACAAGGAATTAACCAAAGAGAGAGATGCACTCAAGCTGGAATTGTGCAAGAATAAGTAGGAGGGGGGAAGGTGGGTGGGTGGTCTGGGGGTCCATAATGTGGGTGGTGTGGTAGGAGGTGGGAGGGATACAGATGAGCATGGTAGATGGTCGTACAAGTTTGGATATGTGCAGAACCATGCTCTAGTCCCAACTGTGCCACTGGTTCATGATAATAGCCTAAGGTCCTCCCTGTAGACTGCCATTTGTGGTTCTTGATTCCTAGGGTCCCTTCCAATGCCACAGTTCCTTGTATGGCAAGGGGAGTGGGTTGATCAGTGCAGTGATTTTTCTGTTCTTTGTTCATTGCTTTCTTCTCTACCTCTGCCACAGCATAAACAATGATGACCTGAAGCAGGTGAACTCAGAACAGCAAGAGAAGCTTCGTTTCCTGGAGTCTGAGAAGGTGGCCCTGCAACAGCAGTTTGAGGAACTACAAAAGAAACTGGACTTGTCTGAGCTCTTGCTGCTGCAGGTCAGAGGCTGCAGCCCTGGAGAGTAGTCCAGGCCCCATCCAGCTGGGGCCACATTCTAGGCATCATGTCAGGGTGAGGAGGTGGCGTCTAGTCAGGAGTTAGAAAATTTGGATCTTTGTTGTGGCCCTGCTATAGAATCCTCCAAAGACTGCTAAAAATCCACAAGTTGGGGTCCAGTTTACACCTGTGAAATCAGTGTTTCAGTGGCTTTATTTATTTTTATTTTTTTGAGATATGGAGTCTCACTTTGTGACCCTTGGTAGAATGCTATGGCATCATAGCTCACAGCAACCTCAAACTCTTTGGGCTTAGGCGATTCTCTTGCCTCAGCCTCCTGAATAGCTGGGACTACAGGTACCCACCACAACACTCAGCTAAGAATCTCAGGGACTTTAAAACAAAGGTTGTTGTTTTTGGGTTTTTTTTTTTTTTTGCATCCTGGTTGAAAACCATCATTTTATAGATTTTTTTTTTTTTTTGTAGAGACAGAGTCTCACTTTATTGCCCTCGGTAGAGTGCCGTGGTGTCACACAGCTCACAGCAACCTCCAACTCCTGGGTTTAGGCAATTCTCTTACCTCAGCCTCCCAAGTAGCTGGGACTACAGGCACCCGCTACAATGCCCAGTTATGTTTTTGTTGCAGTTTGGCCAGGGCCAGGTTTGAGCCTGCCACCCTCGGTATATGGGGCTGGTGCCCTACTCACTGAGCCACAGGTGCTGCCCTTTTTTTTTTTGAGACAGAGTCTCACTTTGTCGCCCTCAGTAGAGTGCTGTGGTGTCCCAGCTCACAGCAACTTCCAGCTCTTGGGCTAGGGTGATTCTCTTGCCTCAGCCTCTTGAGTTGCTGGGATTACAGGCGCCTGCCACAACACCTGGCTATTTTTATTGCAGATGCCACTGCTGTTTTAGCTGGCTGGGGCCAGGTTCGAACTTCTCACCATTGGTATATGGGGCTGGCCCCCTACCCACTGAGCCACAGGCGCTGCCCAATCATCATTTTATAGATTATATTATATGTCTCCTCTTAACTTCCTCCTGGGGCCTAAGCCAACACTTTGTTATTACATGGTAGTAAGACAAGGCAGAGATCTTTATTGACCCTGAGTTGTATGCTGAGGCCACTTCCAGCCCTTGGGGGAGCACTGTGTGGAATAGCTTGGGCTTCCCAGATCTGACCTCCTCATTTTTCACCATCTAGTTCACTAGCCCGTCTGAAGCCCTTAATAGCAACCAGCAATTACAACAGGCCTTGGAGGAGCGGGCAAAGCTGGAGAAACGGGTGGCTGAGGTGAGGCTTTGCAGAGGGAAGGGTGTGGAAGGAGGGTTACCATAGGCGGCCAGGAAGAAGTAACAAGTGACAGCCTCTCTTAATTTCTGAGTCCATTCTTGCAGCTTACTGAGCTGATGAAACGACTACAGATGGACAGGGACCATTATTTAGAGACTCTGAAAGGAGATAATGCCATGTGGCAGGAGAAGATGCAGCAAATGTCAGAGAAGGTGAGACCTGACCCTGCAGCCCCCATCTGAGATCAGTCTCTTGATCTTGGGAATCTGTAAAGTGGGACTTGCATGGCTTGCTGAGGAGCACAGGCAGAGGTGGGTGTGTATTTGGGGTTTATGGAGGTAGAGATCTCCATTTTGGGGAGATGGTGGTCTGTCCTTCTACCAGCCCCTCTCTCTGTGGTTCTTTGCCCTGTGCTCTGAACAGATGCGCATATTGAAGGAGGAGAAGGAGCAGAGTGTGACTCAGGTGCGGGAGCTAGAGACCAGCTTGGCTGAACTGAGGAACCAGACAGGTAAGCTGGGGTTCAGGGGACCTGGGAGGAGGATTGTGTCGGAGCACTGTGAGGTGGCTAGGAATGCCCTCAGGAGGTAGAAAAATAGCAGAGCTTTGGGGCAAAGGGAAAGAGGTCTGTGCTAGGAGGTGGCAAGTCTCGTGTCTCCCTTGAGACTCTGTGTCCACATTTACAGAGGGAGAATGCCCATCCACAATTGTCTTTAGCACAATAATGTAAAAACACTATTTGAAAGTGGCTTGAAAGAGTGACCATCATAGGAATGTGAGGAATACTTATCCAAGAAGCCAAGATTTGGGGTGAAGAGCTTTAGACCATAAAGAGGGTTTTTTGTGGCTCAGCACCCGTTGCACAGTGGTTAGGGTACCAGCCACATATACCAAGGCTGAAGGGTTTGGACCCAGCTCGGGCCAGTTAAACAGCAATGACAACAACTGCAATCAAAAAATAGCCAGGTGTTGTGGTGGGCACCCAGCTACTTGGAAGGCTAGGCAGAAGAATCGCTTAAGCCCAAGAGTTTGAGGTTGCTGTGAACTCTGACGCCATGGCACCCTACCACGCCATGGCACCCTACCAAGGGCAACATAGTGAGACTGTGTCTCAAAAAAAAAAAAAAAAAAAAAAGGGCGGTGCCAGTGGCTTAGTGGGTAGGGTGCTGGCCAAACTGCCACAAAAAATAGCCAGGCGTTGTAGTAGGGGCCTGTAGTCCCCCACTACAAAGGGGGACTGAGGCAAAAGAATCACCTAAGCCCAGGAATTGGAGGTTGCTGTGAGCTGTGACGCCATGGCACTCTACCGAGGGCAACATAGTGAAACTCTGTCTCAACAACAACAAAAAATAAATAAATAAAAATAAAAGAGGGTGTTTTGAGAATCCAGAGGCCCTTAACCATGCTCTTCTTCCTCAGCTGAAGCCCCATCCCCAGCGCCCCCTGCAGGGCCCTCGGAGGTGGAACAGCGGCTGCAAGCAGAAGCGGAGCAGCTGCAAAAGCAGCTGGAAAGCCTGGCAGGACAGCTGCGTGACCAGGTGCAAGACAATGAGGGTTTGATTCGCCTGAACCTGGAGCAGGGGCAGCGGCTACGGGAGCTGGAGCAGGAAGCAGAAATCTGGGGTGACCAGGCGGAAGAGCGCAAGAAGATTCTGGAGACCATGCAGAATGACCGTGCCACCATCAGCATTGCGGTTTCCCAGAACCTTGAGCTCAAGAACCAGCTGGCGGAGTTGCAGGATGGCTTTATCAAGCTGGTGTGTGTCCTCGCCTAACTAGCCTGCCCTCCTCACTGGCCCTCTGGGACTTTGATTTCCCACCTGTAAAACTGGGTGGGCTAGAGCTCATGTGAAATGGTACCAGAGTCCCACTCCAGTGTGTCTGTGGGGAGTTTCCAACCTGCCTCCACCCATCCCTGCACCTTGGGAGGTGAGCATCAAGTTCTGGAGTCTCCAGCTGCTGATTACTTTTTCTCTGTCCAGAGCAATGACAATATGGAAATTTCCAATGCACTACAGTCTGAGCAGCATGTGAAGAAAGAACTGGCTAAGAAGCTGGGCCAACTACAGGAAGAGCTGGGCGAGATGAAGGAGACGGTAACCAGTGTTCCATCTGAGAAAGGAGGGGCGGTGCCAGGCCAGGGCAGACGCAGCTCTAGACTGAGGGATACATGACCTCAGAGACCTGCAGAACAGGTCTGTGACTTATCACTCCCTGGGTAGTCCTGGGTTTCTCCGAGGTCTGGAAATGATCATCCTAGCTAGAGGTACTGAGCACCCCTATCACATCATGATCACCTGAGTGGTATGATTAAGTGAGGATCCTTGGATTTAGACTGGATTCTGGTCTCGGCTCCACTGGTTGTTTTCAAATACTTAACATCTGGCTGGCCACAGTGGCTTACCCCTGTCATCCCAGCACTTTGGGAGACTGAGACAGGACGATTGCTTGAAGCTAGGAATTTAAGAACAGCATGGGCAATGTAGCAAGATATAATCTCTACAAAAATTTGAAAAATTAGCCAGCCGTGGTGGCCCATGACTGTAGTCCCAGCTACTCAGGAGGCTGAGGCTGGAGGTTCACTTGAGCCCAGGAGTTTGAGGTTGAAGTGAGCTATGGTTGAGCCATTGCACTCAAAAGCTAAAACAAACAAACAAACGTTAGCACTTTCCTCAGAGAGGTGTTGAGGATTAAATGAGATAATACATACAAGGTATCAGGCATTTAGTGTGCGCTCAACAGATGCTTGCCGATTGGCTCCCTTTGCATTTCCTTCTTTCTGAGGCCTAAAATTGAAATATGAAAGGCTCGGCGCCTGTGGCTCAAGTGGCTAAGGCACCAGTCACATACACCTAAGGTGGCGGGTTCAAATCCAGCCCAGGCCCGCCAAACAGCAATGATGGCTGCAACCAAAAAGCCAGGCATTGTGGTGGGCGCCTATAGTACCAGCTATTGGGAGATGGAGGCAGAAGAATCGCTTGAGCCCAGGAGTTGGAGGTTGCTGTGAGCTGTGATGCCATGGCACTCTACCCGGGGGACAGCTTGAGGCTCTGACTCAAAAAAAGAAAAAAAGAAATATGAAAAAAGGTTATGGGGTCTGAGGTTGAGTGAGGCAGGAACAGGGCTCTGTGCAAGGGAGATGGCCAGTCAGGCCTGGAGCAAGCCCCACAGTGCCCCCACTACTGGGCTTAGAGTCTGGAAGTAGGCTACCACCTTCCCTCACGTCCAGGGTCTTCCTGCAGGTGGAACTGAAGAATGAAGAGGCGAAGAGTCTACAGCAGGAGAGAGATCAGTATCTGATTTACCTGCATCAGTATGTGGCTGCCTATCAGCAGCACGCAAACACCTATCAGCAACTGATGTCAGAGAAGGAGTCGCTGCACAGGGAGCTCCTACAGCAGACCCAGGCCATGGAGCAGCTGCAACAAGAGAAAGCTCAGGGTGCAGTGGCAGCTGAGGTGGCCCTCCACGAATTGCAGGAGACCCAGGTGAGGGATTTGCTAAGGGCTAGGCCCCTGAGTGGGAGGATGTGACAGCTGCAGGAGGCTGTCACATCCTCTTTTGTGGCCACTTAGGAGCGCCTAGAAGCTGCCAGACAGCAGAACCAGCAGCTGCAGGCCCAGCTGAGCCTAATGGCCGAGCCTGGGAAGGGTAAGTGAGATTGTTCCATGGTGAGGAGGGAGCCGGGGGCAAGGCAGGGACAGGGAACCTCTAGGACAGACAGCTTATGATTATGGGGAGGGGCTGGCCCAGATCGCACATGAGGTTACGTGGGCCCACTTTATTTCTCTTGTTGAGTTGTCTGAGGACCCCTCTGGCTGTCCCCAATAGGAGATATATTGGACAAGGGTGGACAGAAGGAGGGAGCAGAGAAGGAGGCAGCAATGAAGACAGAGACACCTGAGAATGAGGTTGCAGAGGAGAAGGGAGTGGAGAAGGAGGAGGAAGTACCAGATGAGGAGGCCTCTAGGCCCATGCTGAGCATCTCGGAGGACCTAGATAGCCGAGAAGCCATGGTAAACATGATCTTCCCAGCCCTTCTCTGTCCCACCATTCTTGCCCCCACTGTGGTCCTCCCAGAGACCCTCATGCTCTTGGTTTCCCTGCCCTCTGATTTCTCTTAACACCTACTTCCTGTTCACCAGCTGGTCCCAGCCCAGAAGAAGCCAGAGGACACAGCCTCTGCCTGTGAAATTGGAGATGGCTTTGTGTCTGGGGAAATCCATCGGGCCCTACAGGTGGACATGGAGAAACTTGAGGTAAGGGAGTCTCTCCTGACATGGGCCAAGAAGGGAAGGGACAGGCAGGTTGCTGCCCAGACCTGACCCCATTATTTTAACACCAGAACCGCTTTATGGAGGTCATGAAGGAGAAGGCAGACCTGAAGGAACAGGTGGAGGGACTGGAACATCGCTGCATCCAGCTGTCCGGAGAGACAGACACCATTGGTGAGCATGGAGACAAGGGCCCATCAAGGGGAGCTGCCAGTTATGCCCCTAATGGGCTAGAGGAGCCCATCAGGGGTTGGAGGGGTCAGAGCAGCCCCAGTGTCTGAAGCCTGTCCTTTTGTAGGTGAGTACGTCACACTGTACCAGTGTCAGAGGCTAGCACTGAAGAAGCGGCAGCAGGAGAATGAGGAGTATGTGAGCCGGATGGCGCAGGAAAAAGAGGAAATGAAGGTAGAGCCTGGGTATCTTTATGGACAAGGGTGGGTGGCTAGGCACATGTGCTGAATACCTCTCACTCCAGGTGAAGTTACTGGAGCTGCAGGAGCTAGTGGTACAACTCGTGAGCCAGCGCAATGAGTGGCATGGCAAATTCCTGGCAGCTACCCAGAGCCCTGCTGAGGAGCCTACCCCAAAGCCCACAGCCCCCCAGGAGCTTGGAGCTACCAACAAGCAGGGTGGTGAGTAGAGCCCTTGGGCAGGGTGGGGCAGGAGCAGGGGAAGGCTACAAGTGGCTCAGAGCCCTGCTCCTCTCTCCAAAAGATTTTTATGAGGTGAGCCTCAGTGATAACATGGAACCTGCACGAGGAGAGGCCAGGGAGGTGTCTCCGCCTGAGGACCCCACTACTCAGCAGATCATGCAACTGCTCCGTGAAATCCAGAACCCGCAGGAGCGCCCAGGCTTGGGCAGCAACACCTGCCTCCCCTTATTCTACCGGGCTGGTGAAAACAACACTCTGAAGATCCTGGTTGTCTAAAAATCTTACAGTGTCAACAAGGTGTGGAGAAGTGGCGCTGCCCCTACGCCATCTCTGCCACTCCCAGTCACCCCTTTCTCCATAGATTAGCAAGATAAGACCCCTGTTTGATGTGGGAAGATAAGCCAATGCAGACCTTTTGCCATCTAGACCAGGACTAAATCTCAGTTATTTTTATTATTTGCAGGCGACCTTCTTAGCAATATTAAAAAAAAATTTAGAGCCAGGCACAGTAGTTCACACCTGTAATCCTAGCACTTTGGGAAGCCAAGAGCTCACAAGTTTGAGACCAGCCTGAACAAGAACAAGACCCCCATCTCTAAAACTAGCTGGGCATTGTGGTAGGCGCTTGTAGTCCCAGTTACTTGGGAGGCTGAGGCAAGAGGATAACTTGTATCCAAGAATTTGAGGTTGCTATGAGCTATGACACGACAGCGCTCTACTGAGGGCAGCAAAGTGAGACTGTCTGAAAAAAAAATTTTTTTTTTAGATTTTTTTTCTTCTTAACTGGATAAAAGAAATTAAGGGATATATAGAGAAAAATAAAGTAGAAAGAAAAATTGTTTTTCATAGTTGAATTTAAAAATAATGGTAATAATAATAATAGTTATTATTATTTTCTTTTTTTGAGACAGAGTCTCACTCTATTGCCTGGGTTAGAGTGCTGTGGCATCATCACAGCTCACAGCAACCTCAATCTTTTGGGCTCAGGTGATCTTCTTGCTTGCCTCAGCCTCCTCAGTAGCTGGCATTACTGGCACTTGCCACAATGCTTGACTAGTTTTTTATAAAAATAAATTGAGATTATTTCCCTTACTTAGATTAAAAAATTAGATTTTTCCTTAGATTTAAAAAAATTTTTTTTAGAATTTTTTTTTCTTAGCTGGATGAAAAATACTTTTTGGATTATATTCCTGCTTAACTAGAGTAAAAAAAGATTTAGATTATTTTCCTTAGCAGGATAAAAAAAATCTGTATTACATCCCTGCTTAGATAGATTAAAATTTTTTTTGGATTATTTCTGATCATAGCAGGATAAAAAACAAATTTAGATTATTTCCCATCATAACTGGATTTAAAAAATGAGGAGTAGGAGAAAAAAAGGAAAAACCCAAAATTTATTTCCTATCTTAGCTGGATTTAAAAATAAATTTTGATTATTTCCCTTCTTAACTGGATACAAAAAAATATTTAAAGGGAGAAAAAACAATGTAAAAAAATAAAAAATTGATTTTCCTTAGCCAGATTTTTTTTTTTTTTTTTGAGGCAGAGTTAAGAGTGTCTTGGTGTTAGCCTTGCCCACAGCAACCTCAAACTCCTGGGTCAAGTGGTCCTCCTGCTCAGGATGTTGAGCTGTAGGCGCCTGCTGCAACACTCTGCTAATTTTTTCTAATAGAGACAGGGTCTTGCTTTTGCTGAAGCTGGCCTCAAATTCCTGAGTTCAAGGGATCCTCCTGCCTTGGCCTCTGAGAGTACTAGGATTTTAGGCATGAGCCACTGGGCCTAGCCTCTTAGTTTGTCTTAAAAATAAATTTACATTATTTTTCTTCTTAGTTGGATTTTTAAAATTGGATTATTTCCTTACATTTAAAAAAAATTTAGATTATTTTCCTTCTTAACTAGAGAGGAAAAATTTTTTTAAATTATATTCCTGCTTAACTAGAGTTAAAAAAAGTTTGATTATTTCCCTTAGCAGGATAAGAAAAAAATTTGAATTACATCCCTGTTGAAGTGGATTTAAAATTTTTGGGGGGGATTATTTATCATTGTAGCTGGATTAAAAAATTTTGGAGGCAGGAAGAAAAGAAATAGAACAAAAAAATTTTATCTCCCCCAGCTGGATTAAAAATAATTCAGGGGTGTTTAGAAAAAAAAAAAAATTCAGGGGTGGGGAAGAAAACTTTTTAAAAAAGAAAAAAAATTACTTCCTTTCTCAGCTGGATTATACAATGAGGAAATTTGGGTGGGGAGGAAGAAAATTTCAAAAACAAAACCAAATTTTGGATTATTTCCATTTTTAGCTGGATTAAAATTATTTTCCTTGTTAGCAGGATTTTAAAAAATTGGCTTATACCCCTTCATAGTTGAATTTAAAAAATTAAATTATTTCTCTTAGCTAGATGAAATAAATTGGATTTTTTCCCTTATTAGCTGGAGAAAAAAATGTTTTTAGATTATTTCCTTTCTCTGATGGATAATAATAATAAAATTAGATTATTTCCCTTTTGGCTGAATAATCTAAAATTTTTTTATCTACCAAGAGGGAAAATAACCCAAATTTATTTTATCTACCTATGAAGACAAATAATCTAAAACTTTTTTAGCCAGTTAAGAAAGGACTTATATAGGATTATGATCCAATCATTTTTCATCCTCCTAAGAAGAAAAATAAAAATTTTTTTTTTTTTTTTTGTAGAGACTGAGTCTCACTTCGATGCCCTTGGTAGAGTGCTGTGGCATCACACAGCTCACAGCAACCTCCAACTCCTGGACTCAGCATTCTCTTGCCTCAGCCTCCTGAGTAGCTGGAACTACAGGCGCCCAACACAACGCCTGGCTATTTTTTGGTTGCAGTTCGGCTGGGCTGTGTTTGAACCCGCCACCCTCGGTATATGGGGCCAGTGCCCTACTCACTAAGCCACAGGCACTGCCCCAAAAATAAAGTTTTTTAAAAACTTTATTAAACTTTATTAAAATAAAGTTTTTAAAAAACTTTATTTCCAGCTATGACTGGAAATAATTCAATTTTTTTCCTCCTTAACTGCATAAAAAATTTAGTGGGGCGTAGAAGAAATAGGAAAAAACTAAAAATGGTGGCTTGGCACCTGTAGCTCAGCAGCTAGGCCACTGGCCACATACACCAAGGCTGGTGGGTTTGAACCCCCCGGGCCTGCCAAACAATGGCAACTACAACAAAAAAATAGCCAGGCATTGTGGCCGATGCCTGTAGTCCCAGCTACTTGAGAGACTGAGGCAAAAGAACTGCTTAAGCTCAAGAGTTTGAGGTTGCTGTGAGCTGTGACACCACAGCACTCTACCAAGGGTGACATACTGAGACTCTGTCTCAAAAAAAAAAGGTAAAAGAAGAAAATAATTATGTACTTTCTCAGTTTGATTTAAAAATAAATTTAGATTGTTTTTCTTAGCTAGATTAAAAAATTTTTTTTCTTTATATTCGTGCTAAACTGGATTTTAAAAATTAGATTATTTTCCTTAGGATAAGGAAAAAAATTACATTACATCCCTTAGCTATATTCAAAAAAATGTTTAGATTATTTCCCATCATAGCTGGATTTAAAAAAAAATTAAGGGTGGGGGAGAAAAATTTGTATAACAGAAATAGAAAAAAAAATTTCCCTTTAAAAAAATTGGGGGGTAATAATATTTCATTATAGAAAAATGAGACAGCCTCATAATTTTATTTTTTTAAGAAGGCTGTTTTCTGGGAACAAGCAAGGGCTCCCAGGTAGCCTCCTTATCCCCCTCTTCCTCCTTCAGAAGTCTTTCCCTCAGGGGCATCTATCCTTTCTCAGAGGGACTTGGAGCAGGACAGCAGGGCACAGCCCTGTCCAGCTTTGCTCCACTGGGGCTGATGTAGCCCGGCTGGGACACAGGCCTGTATATATTGTATCTATGTAATATTTTGTATATCCGGGGGTAGGGCCGCCCCTGTATCTTACCGGAGCTTAGCGCTGGCAAATGGGCAAATCTAAAGCTGACTTTTTTTAAAAAAAATTATTTTTGGATTATTTCCAAGTGACTTCCTTAGCTGGACTAAAAAAAAAGAAATTGGGTTATTTCCGTTCTTAGATGGATTGAAAAAAAATTTTTTAATTATTTTGCTGTAGAGAAATCAAAGCCAGAGGCTTATAAATTTATTTTCTTTTTTTTAAGGAAGCTGCCTCTGGGAACAAGAAAGGGCTCCTTAGTGCCCCCTTACCCCAAAGCAGTCCTTCCCTCAGGCCATCTATCCTCTCTAAGAGGGATTTGGGGCAGGACAGTGGGGCAGCGCCTTGTCCAGCTTTGCTGGGCTGGGCCGGGCCTAACTCAACCTGGCCAGGACATAGGCCTGTATATATTGTATCTGTGTAGTATTTTGTATATCTGGGGGCCGCTCCATGTTATACCGGAGGTTGGAGCTGGCAGATGGGGAAGGGGTCTGGAACTATGATGACCTTTAAAAAAATGGGGAGGAGTTTCTAATAATTATTTGGGGCTGGGAAACTTATTTATTGATAGTAGAGAGGAAGGCTGTGGGGAGGTGGTTGTGGCACCCTGGTGATGCGGCTCCTGTTTATCTCACTTCTTATTTCGGAATAAATGGATTTAGCCATACTGCTCTGTGTTCCTTTTTCTGTCACTGGGTCCTGGGATCTGTGCCACTGAGCAGGCAGCAGAGGGCAGACTTCTGGTTGTTCAGAGCCCTAGAGTGGGGACTTTGGGGGACCTTCAAGGCCAGTCACTGGGGTACTGCTTGGTGAAGCCTAGAAGATTCTAGGGGGACTGCTATAGTGGGTATGGGAAGCAGGAGCCTGACCTAACAGTGGGAGGGACAACGGGCTGCCCTGGGGTCCAGGCAGCTTCCATTCCATTCCTTCATTCCCCTGTGTGGACCTGGTGGCCTGTTCTTCCCTCTGGGGAACCAGTCTCAGCCCTGTGTCATTCTCCCTGAGCTCATGGTCCTGTTCCCCAGTGGTCAGGATGGGGTTCACAGGATGGAGATGAGCTAAGCTCTGGGTGCTTTCCAAGGAGGCCCTGGGAAGGATGTGGCCTCTTCACCACTCTGGATAGCACCGTAGCAATGGCTGGGCCCTTCCCCATCCCTTTTCCCTAATGTTTAAAAAACTTTTACTTCCCACTGAGCTCCAGAGAAGACACAAACCAGCAGAGGACACAATGTTGCCGTCATCCAGAAGTGGGTTTTATTCTCAGCTGAGAGACAGCAAGACTGGTAGCATCAGACCACACGGCAGCCTGGACAGCACCCCCATGCTTCCAGGGGAGGGGTGGGAGGGCTAGCAGTCCAGGGGCTGGACATGACAGGAAGGCTCACTGGCGGTGGCACACTTTGAAGCCAGGATGTCAGGGGACAGCGTTCCCTGATAGTTGGGCCACGAGACTCCACAAGGACAGCACGGTGATTGATTGCCAGCACTGGAGGTGAGGCTGTCAGCCATATATATGTATATATATATATGAATATTTATAGATATTTATAGAATGGCAGG